AGGGTGGCCAGGGCCATACCCAGATGCTCTGAGCCCCTTAGGCAGAAACTATGTCACGACAACGACTTTCATTCTCACAAACTCCTCACACACAAACATGAGAGGGGATACAGAGAGAGCGAGAGAGCGAGCGACAGACGGACAGACGGACAGACGGACAGAAAGAGAGACAATAGACCCGTTTATACCTGGTGGCAACATGGCTCCTTTGTCCTGATGTTGTCTACATTATTTTTGTTGTTGTTGTAAGATATATATATTTTTTATCATACAAAACATACAAAAGCTAACATACAGACGCAGATAAACATCAACCTCACACCTGCCCAGACCCACCTGTTCTCTCTCCAGTGCCTGCACAACTCTCCGCCACATCCTCAAATTGCAGCATTTTGTGAAGCATATGATTTTCCATTGTCTTAAGGATGGAGGATTCATTTACAGTATTTAAGTATATACGTTTTTTCAAGATAATTGACCAGAAGAGTATCGTCCAACCCATCAGGTATCTCACTGCATCCACATATGACATGTCTTGAAATATGCAGACCGACAGATTAAAAGTACATTTACATTGTAATACTTCTGACAGCCAACTTTATAATGACCATAACTTTTGAACTTTGTAGCATTCCCAGAAGGCATGGATTATTGAGTCATTGATAGTTTTACATTTAAGACATGATGTCATTGTGTTTTAGAATTAGTGAATTTTGTCTCTTGTATAATAATGTATACACCTGTGGGCACAATCTGAATGTGGACAAGATCAGGACAATGGATGCCTGTTAGAACCAGGTATAAATGGGGCTTTGGAAGGCAGCCTCTGGGTCAGGTGTGGAAAAAAGGCCCACCTTATTCCTGTCAGAGAGGGGAGGAGGGGACATTATAATCTAGATCTAGGACATTCTGTGGGGTGCCACAAACGAGACATATTGCAATCATTACAGGAAATCTGAAAAGGGCACCAAGCAGCATTGATACATAAAACTATCCTGTCTCTAAGCCAACCGGTCGGACAGATAAAGTAGCATTGTATATCAAACACTTCATTGTCTTTCTGTTGCCATCAGGTTTTTCCCTGATTGACTAATGCTTTTGTGTCAACAGAACTGTTTGTCGTCATGTCAACAATCAGTTGTTTTCCTGAAGTAAATGATTCACTTTGGACAAACACTGTGTGGTGCCTTAAAATATTTGGCATGGGTCCTCAGATCCTCAAAAAGTTATACAGCTGCACCATCGAGAGCATCCTGACTGGTTGCATCACCGCCTGGTATGGCAACTGCTCGGCCTCCGACCGGAAGGCACTACAGAGGGTAATGCGTACAGCCCAGTACATCACTGGGGCCAAGCTTTCTGCCATCCAGGACCTCTATACCAGGCGGTGTCAGAGGAAGGCCCTAAACATTGTCAAAGACTCTAGCCACCCTAGTCATAGACTGTTCTCTCTGATACTGCACGGCAAGCCAAGTCTAGGTTCAAAAGGCTTCTTAACAGCTTCTACCCCCAAGCCATAAGACTCCTGAACAGCTAATCATGGCTACCCGGACTATTTGCATTGCAGGGCCACATTGACTAACTATTTACAACAGGTGCACTCTACAGTTTGCACCAAAGCTAAAAAAAGAACACTCTCTTCATTTACCCTTTAACTTCACATCTTATAGTCTTATCATTATTACCTTTTTGTTACGTCCTCAATGTTTAATTCCCTTTTGAAAACACTTCTAGAGACATAACATTTTGTTGCCTTACAACCTGGAAATAAAATAGATTTTTTGGGGGTTTGTATCATTTGATTTACACAACATGCTTACCACTTTGAAGATTCAAAATATTTTTAATTGTGAAATAAACAAGAAATAAGACAAAAAAAAACTGAAAACTTGAGCGTGCATAACTATTTACCCCCCCAAAGTCAATACTTTGTCAATACTAAGTCTCTTGGGGTCTGTCTCTATAAGCTTGGCACATCTAGCCACTGGGATGTTTCCATTCTTCAAGGCAAAACTGCTCCAGCTCCTTCAAGTTGGATGCGTTCTGCTGGTGTACAGCAATCTTTAAGTCATACCACTGATTCTCAATTGGATTGAGGTCTGGGCTTTGACTAGGCCATTCCAAGACATTTAAATGTTTCCCCTTAAACCACTCGAGTGTTGCTTTAGCAGTATGCTTAGGGTCATTTCCCTGCTGAAAGGTGAACCTCAGTCCCAGTCTCAAATCTCTGGAAGACTGAAACAGGTTTCCCTCAAGAATTTCCCTGTATTTAGCGGCATCCATCATTCCTTCAATTCTGACCAGTTTCCCAGTCCCTGCCGATGAAAAACATCCCCAGAGCATGATGATGCCACCACCATGTGTTGGGTTTGCGCCAGACATAGCATTTTCCTTGATGGCCAAAAAGCTCAATTTTAGTCTCCTGACCAGAGTCTCCCACATGCCTTTTCGCAAACACCAAACGTGTTTACTTATTTTTTTCTTTAAGCAATGGCTTTTTTATGGCCACTCTTCCATAAAGCCCAGATCTGTGGAGTGTACGGCTTAAAGTGGTCCTATGGACAGATACTCCAATCTCCGCTGTGGAGCTTTGCAGCTCCTTCAGTGTTATTTTTGGTGTCTTTGTTGCCTATCTGATTAATGCCCTCCTTGCCTGGTCCGTGAGTTTTGGTGGGCGGCCCTCTCTTGGCAGGTTTGTTGTGGTGCCATATTCTTTAAAAATTTTTATAATGGATATAATGGTGCTCCGTGGGATGTTCAAAGATTCTGATATTTTTCTATAACCCAACCCAACACTTCACCAATTTGGACTATTTTGTGTATGTCCATTACATGAAATCCAAATAAAATAAATTTAAATTACAGGTTGTAATGCAACAAAATAGGAAAAAGACCAAGGAGGATGAATACTTTTACAAGGCACTGTATCCTTCACAAACATACCCCAGTCAGTTATATGGTATATGAATACCTTCTGAAGGCAATGTATGTACAAAAGAGACATTTTGAGCTCAACAAACATGAACCCTCTACCTGGACTTTTGACCAGGGCACTATATATGGAATAGGGTGCCATTTGGGATGTGTACACAGTCATCAGTCTAATTATTTGTTAATAACTTTTTATTGTTGTGATCTTATTGTCTGGATAAGAAACAGTTAATAATGACAACCATATAATTAGATCCATACAACACACAATCCTAATGTGGTGTGATGATGCTACTGCATATTACATATTGTATCTGGTCCAAAAAAGGACCACAATAATAAGTACAAATAGAATTTAATTTAAATGTATTCACAGTGCCGATACCATGCCCTCTGTTTAGGATTTAAGAATATAGGATCTATAACTTTTATTCCTACATATATTCCTGCACAATGCTTGCTTTGAATAAGTAGTCTGGTTATGAGGATATCATTGTCTGGAACTGATGTGACTCTATTCAAATGAGTGCACTGTTGTGTTCAACCCTATTCTGCTTTACCAGATTTACAATGACATGTAATGAACACTAGGGGGCAATGGTACTGTATTGTAAAGTATGGCCCAGACCAAAAACAACCCTTAGCCCAGAGCTCCCTAGCCCCTTTCCCTTACCACCTAGGCACTTTTTACAGCAGACTTAGCCTATCAGAGGGTAAGGTGGACCTGCAACCATATTGCATATGGTATCTTATTTCTAAACGGTTCTAAATTAAGAAGAATATACTGTAGCTGGTGTAAATTTTTTACATTTTAGTCATTTAGCAGACACTCTAATCCAGAGCGATTTACAGTTAGTGAGTGCATACATTTTCATACTGGCCCCCCGTGGGAATCGAACCCACAACCCTGGCGTTGCAAGCGCCATGCTCTACCAACTGAGCTACAGAGTGTACTTGGTCATCGTCACAGCATTATGTGTGTGTGTGTGCTTCATCTCCTTTTCCATTCTCTTTATCTCTATCTCTCTTTCTATGCCTGACTTTCTCTTTGCCTGTCAGTCCACATTTATCTCTTCCTTTCTGTGTCTCTCTCTCTCTCTCTCTCTCTCTCTCTCTCCCTCACTCTCTCTCTCTCTCCCTCTATCCTCCTCCTTCCCCTCTCCTCCCTCCCGCCTCTCTCTCCTCCCCCTCTCAGGGCTTGGTCCCATGTGTGATGTTGGCCCAGTCAGGGAAGGTGCTGAGCTGGAACATTGCGTCTCCCCAGGTGTTGATGCCAAGGTTGATGGTCAGGATCCCAATCATGTTCAGCATGAAGCCTGCCTTCACCTGGACAACACATCAACACAAATGCAGGTATACAGTAAACACTGTTGCATTTGAATGTGTAATAATATAATATAATATATGCCATTTAGCTTACACTTTTATCCAAAGCAACTTACAGTAGCATACATTTTAGTATATATGTGTCTCTGTCTGTGTCTATCCATTCATGTGTGTGTGTGCACATATGCACCTGTGTGTGTGTGTTGTGTCTCACCATGTCCATGACTTTGAGGTTTCCATAGGAGAAGACGATGGCGTTGGGAGGTGTTGCCACAGGCAACATGAAAGCCAACGAGGCACAGATGGTGCAGGGCAGCATCACGTACAGAGGATGCAGCCCAATAGCTGTGGCCTGGTGGGAAGTAGAAAGGAACACACTCAGTCATTCAACACACTTAGACACGTGTATGTGAGAGAGAGAGGAAGAGGGAGAAAGCGAGAGGATAGAGTGTGTGTGTGTGCGTGGATGTGTCTGTGTGTGTGTATGCAAATGGGTGTGTGTGCGTGTGTAAGTGTATTCATATGTGCGTGCATGCGTACGTGCGTTCTTGCGTGTGTGTTTGTGTGTAGGTTTGTGCAGCCGTGCCTGTGTGTGTGTGCGTACGTTTGTGCATGCGTGCATCTGTACGTGTGTTTGCGTTTACCATAGAGGCCAGTATGGGCAGGAACAGTGTGGTAGTAGCTGTGTTGCTGGAGCACTCAGTGAAGGTCCCCACCAGCAGACAGAGTAGCAGAGAGATACCGAAGGGAGGAATGGACTGTAGAGGAGCAAGACTCTCACCCAGCCATTTAGACAGACCAGATGCCTAGAGAAAGAGAGATGGGGTGGGTGAGATGAGGGGGAGGGGAGTGAGAGAGAGAGAGAGAGAGAGAGAGAGAGAGAGAGAGAGAGAGAGAGAGAGAGAGAGAGAGAGAGAGAGAGAGAGAGAGAGAGAGAGAGAGAGAGAGAGAGAGAGAGAGAGAGAGAGAGAGAGAGAGAGACTTATACAGACATCCTACAAGAAACATCGTATAGAGGAGGGACCCACTGGTTGCCCTCTAGGTTACAGAGAGCTGGTAGTCCCATCCACCAAACTACCAGGTGTGAAACAGGGAAGGGACTCAGGGGGTATGCTAATTTGGTATAGAGCAGACCTAACATTTTACATTTGGCTAGAAATTCAAAAGGAAATAATCTCAACAGAGAAAAATGTTACCTATATCCCCCCACTAGAATCCCCATACTTTAATGAAGACAGCTTCTCCATCCTGGAGGGGGAAATCAATCATTTCCAGACCCAGGGACATGTACCAGTCTGTGGCGACCTAAATGCCAGAACTGGACAAGAACCTGACACCCTCAGCACACAGGGGGACAAACACCTACCTGGAGGTGACAGCATTCCCTCCCCCATATGCCCCCCTAGGCACAACTACAACAACATAACCAACAAAAACGGGTCACAACTCCTGCAGCTCTGTCGCACACTGGGTATGTACATAGTCAATGGTAGGCTTCGAGGGGACTCCTATGGTAGGTACACCTATAGCTCATCTCTTGGCAGTAGTACTGTAGACTACTTTATCACTGACCTCAACCCAGAGTCTCTCAGAGCATTCACAGTCAGCCCACTGACACCCCTATCAGACCACAGCAAAATCACAGTCTAGTTGAACAGAGAAATACTCAATCATGAGGCATCAAAGCCAAAGGATCTTAATAATATTAAGAAATGCTATAGATGGAAGGAAAGTAGTGTCGAAGCCTACCAAAAAACTATTAGCCAACAACAAATTAAATCCCTTTTAGACAACTTCCTGGACAAAACATTCCACTGTAATAGTGAAGTTGTAACCTTGGCAGTAGAAAACCTAAACAGTATATTTGACCTCTCAGCTTCCCTATCAAATCTAAAAATCTCTAACAGAAAACCGAAGAAAAGTAACAACAGTGACAAATGGTTTGTTGAAGAATGCAAAAACATAAGAAAGAAATTGAGAAACCTATCCAACCAAAAACATAGAGACCCAGAAAACCTGAGACTACGCCTTCACTATGGTGAATCACTAAAACAATACAGAAATACACTACGGAAAAAGAAGGAACAGCATGTCAGAAATCAGCTCAATGTAATTGAAGAATCCATAGACTCTAACCACTTCTGAAAACACTAAACAAACAACAACATGAAGAGCTATCTATCCAAAATGGAGATGTATGGGTAAATCACTTCTCCAATCTTTTTGGCCCTATAACAAAGAACAAACAGCAAAGAAATATACATGATCAAATGCAAATCTTAGAATCAACCATTAAAGACTACCAGAACCCACTGGATTCTCCAATTACATTCAATGAACTACAGGACAAAATAAAAACCCTCCAACCCAAAAAGGCCTGTGGTTACAATATTTGGAACCAAGGACTGATCACCCCAATTCACAAAAGTGGAGACAAATTTGACCCCAATAACTACCGTGGGATATGCGTCAACAGCAACCTTGGGAAAATCCTCTGCATTATCATTAACAGCAGACTAGTTAATTTCCTCAGTGAAAACAATGTACTGAGCAAATGTCAAATTGATTTTTTACCAAATTACCGTACGACAGACCACGTATTCACCCTGCACACCCTAACTGACAAACAAACCAACTAAAACAAAGGCAAAGTCTTCTCATGCTTTGTTGATTTCAAAAAAGCTTTTGACTCAATTTGGCAAGAGGGTCTGCTATACAAATTGATGGAAAGTGGGGTTGGGTGAAAAACATACAACATTATAAAATCAATGTACACAAACAACAAGTGTGCGGTTAAAATTGGCAAAAAAACACACACATTTCTTTCCACAGGGCCGTGGGGTAAGACAGGGATGCAGTTTAAGCCCCACCCTCTTCAACCTATATATCAACAAATTGGCGAGGGCACTAGAACAGTCTGCAGCACCCGGCCTCACCCTACTAGAATCTGAAGTCAAATGTCTACTGTTTGCTGATGATCTGGTGCTTCTGTCACCAACCAAGGAGGGCCTACAGCAGCACCTAGATCGTCTGCACAGATTCTGTCAGACCTGGGCCCTGACAGTAAATCTCAGTAAGACAAACATAATGGTGTTCCAAAAAATGTCCAGTTGCCAGGACCACAAATACAAATTCCACCTAGACACCGTTGCCCTAGAGCACACAAAAAACTATACATACCTCGGCTTAAACATCAGCGCCACAGGTAACTTCCACAAAGCTGTGAACGATCTGAGAGACAAGGCAAGAAGGGCCTTCTATGCCATCAAAAGGAAGATAACATTTGACATACCAATTAGGATCTGGCTAAAAATACTTGAATCAGTTATAGAACCCATTGCCCTTTATGGTTGTGTGGTGTGGGCTCCGCTCACCACCCAAGAATTCACAAAAAGGGACAAACACCAAATTGAGACTCTGCATGCAGAATTCTGCAAAAATATCCTCAGTGTACAACGAAAAACACAAAATAATGCATGCAGAGCAGAATTAGACCAAATTATCAAAATCCAGAAAAGAGCCGTTAAATTCTATAACCACTTAAAAGGAAGCGATTCCAAAACCTTCCATAACAAAGCCATCAACTACAAAGAGATGAACTTGGAGAAGAGTCCCCTAAGTAAGCTGGTCCTGGGGCTCTGTTCACAAACACAAACAGACCCCACAGAGCCCCAGGCCAACAACAACAACACAATTAGACCCAACCAAATTATGAGAAAACAAAAAGAGAATTACTTGACACATTGGAAAGAATTAACAAAAAAACAGAGTAAGTTAGAATGCTATTTGGCTCTAAACAGAGACTACACAGTGGCAGAATACCTGACCACTGTGACTGAACCAAACTTAAGGAAAGCTTTGACTATGTACAGACTCAGTGAGCATAGCCTTGCTATTGAGAAAGGCCGCCATAACCTGTCTTCTCTTGAGAGCCAGGTCTGCCTATGTGCACACTGCCCACAAAATGAGGTGGAAACTGAGCTGCACTTCCTAACCTCTTGCCAAATGTATGACCATATTAGAGACACATATATCCCTCAGATTACAGAGACCCACAAATAATTCGAAAAACAAACCCAATTTTGATAAACTCCCTTATCTACTGGGTGAAAAACCACAGTGTGCCATCACAGCAGCAAGATTTGTGACCTGTTGCCACAAGAAAATGTAAATTAATAAATGTATGTTTATTTATTTTCCCATTTGTACTTTAACTATTTGCACATTGTTACAACACTGTATATATATACATAATATGACATTTGAAATGTCTTTATTCTTTTGGAACTTCTGAGTGTAATGTTTACTGTTAATATTTATTGCTTATTTCACTTTTGTTTACTATCTACTTCACTTGCTTTGGCAATGTTTCCCATGCCAATAAAGCCCTTAAATTGAATTGAATTGAGAGAGGAACAGAGAGAGAGGGGGAGATGGTGGAGGTGAGAGAGAGAGAGAGACACAGGGCATTATAGACCAGACGTCTGCACAGACAGACACATAGACAGGGTGTTATACTAGACGCCTGCACACACACACACACACACACACACACACACACACACACACACACACACACCTCGCTGCCGCTGGCCAGAGCGAAACCTCCTCCCAGCAATAGAATGATGTTCCAGGGCATGCGCTCGTGGACCACCTGCCAGGTCAACAGAGCAGCTGGGGCCTTCTGCTTCTTCTTACCTGGAGAGAGGGAGGGGAGAAAAAGAAGTGAAATTAACATTAACATGAACAATGCACATTCAAGGCCTCTCTGTTCATTTGAGAGTGAAACTGAACTTTGTCTCATTGAGTCTTCTTGACAGAACAGAATCTGCAGACAAAGATCTTTGTTATTGTAGCTCTTTCATTGAACCACCCTCACCTTCCTCCCCGGCCTCTCCCTCCTCTTCCTCAGCACTCCGATAGCAGAACGGCCGTGAGGGGATGATGAAGAAGAGCGTGGACATCAAGATGGCCACCGTCCCATCCGTCACAAACCTGAAGGACACCAACACAGGGAGAGAGTTTAGAATTCAGTTAGAAGAACAGATATTCACATTTTATTGGTGTGTGTTGAAGAGTAAGGTTTGTGTGCATGCATTCATTTACATGCATAAATGTAATTAGCTGTGTGTGTGTGTGTGTGTGTGTGTGTGTGTGTGTGTGTGTGTGTGTGTGTGTGTGTGTGTGTGTGTGTGTGTGTGTGTGTGTGTGTGTGTGTGTGTGTGTGTGTGTGTGTGTGTGGTGTGTGTGTGTGTGTGTGAGTGTGTGTGTGTGTGTGTGTATGTATGTGTGTGCACCTGACTGCGCCAGTCTGTGTGCATAAATGTATCTATATGTGTGTGCTACTCACGCTCCATCCTTGTTGAACAGTACAGTGGCCCAGCCTGGCATGAAGCCTGGTTCTCTGGTGAACCACATCACCACCAGCAGGACAAAGATGGTCAGCACAGCCCCCTCGGCAAAGGTCATGCTCCCCAGCTTCCTGTACTCCTCCTTCATCACTGCAAACGCCTCTTTTTCTCCTTCGTTCTTCTTCCCGCAGCCAAATGACTTCTTCATGCTGTCAACGACACACAGGGACAAGGAGTGAGACTTCAATGAATCAATTAATATCAAACGTAATTAAATTAGGAGCTATTCGTTAGAAGTAATGTAGCCTGTTCTGCAGCTTCTCTTAAAGTGATATTTCACCGCTGCTCTTTCACTGTATATGTACATTTTATATGTTATTAATAAAAAATCGAGAATTGCCTCAAATACCAGTGTTTCTGCATCTCACGGATAGAAACGGGCCATCTACATCTCCTGATTGTAAGCAAACCACAATATGTGGAATTCATAGCGATTTCAGAATGTAGTACCGAACCTGTCGAAGATGATCCAGTTGAAAATTGGCGTCAACAGGTAGCTAACTTTAGTCACTGGACCAGCCACTTGTTCATAGAACATCAGAGGGTATCTCAGGGGAGTTGGGATATGCAAAAAACACATTTCCAATTCACACCTCTCACTTGTACAGGTTGCACACTTGTACATACAGTGAAACAGGAGAAATATAAGCACCCCCTATTTGACCTTTTGAGATTGCAAGAACTTTAGTCATGGTGTGGTGCTCAGTACCTGGATGTGGCTTGCGAAAGTATTCACCCCTCTTGGCATTTTTCCTATTTTGTTGCACTTACAATCTGGAATTAAAATGGATTTTGGGGGGGGGGTTGTATCATTTGATTTACACAACATGCCTACCACTTTGAAGATGCAAAAACATTTTTTTTGTGAAACAAACAAGAAATAGGACAAAAAAACAGAAAACTTCAGCGTGCATAACTATTCACCTCCCCTCCCAAAGTCAATACTTTGTAGAGCCACCTTTTGCAGCAATTACAGCTGCAAGTATCTTGGGGTATGTCTCTATAAGCTTGGCACATCTAGCCACTGGGATTTTTGCCCATTCTTCAAGGCAAAACTGCTCCAGTTCCTTCAAGTTGGATGGGTTCCGCTGGTTTACAGCAATCTTCAAGTCATACCACAGATTCTTAATTGGATTGAGGTCTGGGCTTTGACTAGGCCATTCCAAGACATTTAAATGTTTCCCCTTAAACCACTCGAGTGTTTCTTTAGCAGTATACTTATGGTCATTGTTCTGCTGGAAGGTGAACCTCCGTCCTAGTCTCAAATCTCTGGAAGACTGAAACAGGTTTCCCTCAAGTATTTCCCTGTTTTTAGCGGCATCCATCATTCCTTCAATTCTGACCAGTTTCCCAGTCCCTGCCGATGAAAAACATCCCCACAGCTGCCACCACCATGCTTCACTGTGGGGATGGTGTTCTCGGGGTGATGAGAGGTGTTGGGTTTGCGCCAGACATAGCATTTTCCTTGATGGCCAAAAAGCTAAATTTTAGTCTCTTCTTTTCTTTAAGCAATGGCTTTTTTCTGGCCACTCTTCCATAAAGCCCAGCTCTGTGGAGTGTACGGCTTAAAGTGGTCCTATGGACAGATACTCCAATCTCCGCTGTGGAGCTTTGCAGCTCCTTCAGGGTTATTTTTGGGTCTCTTTGTTGCCTATCTGATTAATGCCCTCCTTGCCTGGTCCGTGAGTTTTGGTGGGCAGCCCTCTCTTGGCAGGTTTGTTGTGGTGCCATATTCTTTCCATTTTTTAATAATGGATATAATGGTGCTCCGTGGGATGTTCAAAGTTTCTGATATTTTTTTATAACTCAACCCTGATCTGTACTTCACCACAACTTTGTCCCTGACCTGTTTGGAGAGCTCCTTGGTCTTCATGGTGCCGCTTGCTTGGTGGTGCCCCTTGCTTAGTGGTGAACAGAACAGGTGGATATATACTGAGATCATGTGACAGATCATGTGACACTTAGATTGCACACAATTTGGACTATTTTGTGTATGTCCATTACATGAAATCCAAATAAAAATCCATTTAAATTACAGGTTGTAATGCAACAAAATAGGGAAAAACGCCAAGGGGAATGAATACTTTTGCAAGGCACTGTACAAGCAAGTGCAGGCTGCTGGGGTAACATTTAATTGGTTACCTGCCGGAAATATTCCTCGGAGCTGACATTGGCTGTCGGCAGTGCTTAATTTGAGCTGGAGCCTGCCGGAACAGGATCCGGCACCTCTACGTTTTGGACTGTTTCGTTCCGGAACCTATTTAGCCGGATCCGGTACCTCTCATGGCATGAAAAATATTTGTCACTTTTTGCGATGAACGTTCATTCGAGTTGCCTCTTTGTTAATTTTCCTGCATTTTTAGGACTACAATTTCCTCCTCATATTGTAGCATACAATATGTCTCCACACACCTAGGCCTAGGCTATTGATGGATTCAAGACAAAGTCGTTTTCATTGATCTCAGATTCTCAGTTTGTCAGTGTCAAAGTAGCCTGTCATTTTGATCATTTGTGCGATATTATGGTGCTTTCAAGACAACTGGGAACTCAGAAAAAAACGAGGTTGAATCATGACATCAGTGATCTTCAGGTCGGAATGTTGGAGCTCTAGAAAGAGGCCAGAGTTCCCCTCTCAGAGTTGGATGACCGTTCAAACTAATTTTCCCAGTCGGAGCAAGTTTTTTCCCGATTTCCCAGTTGTGTTGAACGCACTGAAGTCGGAAGTCTGAAATTTCCCAGCTCTGAGTTCCCAGTTGTTTTGAACGCGGCATTAAAAAAGATTATGCTAAAGTCTGAAGTCTAAAGTCTGAAATGCTTTTATAAAAGGCAACAAAAAAAATCCCATGTGTGCAACTTCTGTAAGTGCCTCTACTCTACTGCTCTATACCACTACGCAAATGTGATGATATGCATGCGATGCTTTATTATCAAGGTAAAAACATGTTTCATGGGTTGCGGTAATAAAGAACGCTGCCTATGTTGGGAATACTCCTATGAGAAATATCCAAATGTTTGTGTTGGTAGACAGCACTTTCAGCCAAAGGATTTCACATGGTCTCTTTCTTGCTTTCTTGAGTAAGGCAGCTCCAAAATGCAGGTGTTTCAGCCTAACTCAGTGCTTTCTATGATGGAGGGGCAGCCAGTGGAAAGTAGGTGTTGGTAATCTTCTCAAGTTGCACCGTGATTGGCTCAGTGTTCTGTCACTCATGGGGACACTACGTCACCGCAGAATCTACAGGGAGAGCTAGGCAGTTCAAGCCCCATTGATTGCGGCCAAAGATAAAATGACATGAAATCACGTTATATCTACCGTAGCTTTGATTGGACTGATCATATCAACATCATACTTTCAAAATCTTAGCTAGCAAGCTAGACAAGCAGTCATCATCATGAATCACGTCAACAATCTACTGGCAAATCCTTTTCATTCCTTATCGTATGAAGATAAATTATAGATAAAAGGTATCAGTGCTCATCGGACATTGGACAGAAACATTACACAACAAGTCGGAAATTGCAAATTAAACAATGAGTGGTTTGAAAGAAATCACTATTTTGCTTCCCCTGCCTGCTACTTGGTGGAGTGGGTATGTGGTCCAAGTCTGGGTTTAAGGATTTAAAACATCTGTTTGAAAGGGTCTCTTTTCCAAGCATAAAAATATAAACATTCACACACAACACAATGGGCCAGAAAAGGTTGAATACATTGGCCATGCTCTCAATCCAGCATGACTTCTGCTGGGTTCAAAACAACTGGAAACTCAGAACTGGCAAATCTCAGATTTCAGTGAGTTCAAGACAACTGGAAACTGGGGAAAAAATGAACTCCAACAGGGAAAATACACCTTGAACGGTCATCCAACTCGGAATTCCAAGTCGAGAACTCTGGCCTCTTTCTAGAGCTCTGACCTGAAGATCACTGACGTCATGATTCGACCATGTTTTCTTTCTCCGAGTTCCCAGTTGTCTCGAAAGCACCATTAATCTAGAGAATGCCAGACAAAGTTTGATGACAAAGGACCACCGCACCACCTTCCTCTTCAAGTGAGCACAACAATGGTGAGTCCAAAAATGTATTGTATGCTGCTGCATAAATGATGTAATATGCCAGGGAAATATGTATACTGTAGCTAAGAAAGTAATACTAAGTGTATGTTGTGTAGTAAGCTGTTAGTAGCCCATGTGCCTCACCCTAATAATTTGGTCCCTTTCCCCCTCAGAACTTAAGCCTACTGTTTTGACTTGGTGGTGCACATGTAGCCTATAGCCTTTTTTAGAGAAATGTCATCATCGAATATTGTAAGAGCTTTCATTGTCTGCTTATATGCCTCTTTATTTATCCTCTCTCTCTCTCTCTCTCTCTCTCTCTCTCTCTCTCTCTCTCTCTCTCTCTCTCTCTCTCTCTCTCTCTCGTGACTTAAAGAGTAAAGTTAAGGCCTCAACATCTTGGCGAATTTATCTGAACTAATATCTATCTGATATTCTGTCGCTGTCCATTTTGAAAGTGCTGAACGAATAAGCCTACCTCGTCGCAGCTCATTTGCTTGCACTTGCTTATACTTAGAGCTAAATGTAAGAACAAACATTATGAATTTACTGAACATAAATGGTTCGAAACTCAAAACTCATTTTGGCATTCGTTATTATTGAAGGAGAATGCGGTTCTTATCGACTTACACAAATCCACAAGGAGTCAGTAGAACTGTTTCGCTGCCAGACAAGGCTCCATTGACAGCCAGGTGTAGCAGTGGTAAGGATCCACTCCATGGTGCTGAAAGGAAAGCTCTGCTGTTGGGACAGCTTTATGTAGGCCCTAACAGTTTGTGGGCACCGTTTGTCACTGATATAGTACAATTAATGTATTGTTTAGTGTTGTGTTGTGTACTGGCTTTGCTGGCATGCATCCGCCCCCCCCAAAAAAAATTGGTTTGCCCCACCAAGATTTACATGCTAAACTCACCACTGTAGCTAGCAAACTACATTTGTTTATCTAAACCAAAATCTAGGTAGCTAGCTTTCATAATACGCTGGCTAGACATTACAAAGCAAGTCAATGTAATTAGCCAGCTGCTATCTGGCGATGTGATTTGTAAGTTTGCAGGCTAACGTTAGCTATGTTAGGTTACATTAGCTTCAGTCTACCGGACT